GCCAGATTTAACAGCCTTCCTTCAGCACTCCTCCAGGGCAGGTATAAGAGAACACCTATAGCAGAANGATAGATAGATAGATAGATAGATAGATAGATAGATAGATAGATAGATAGATAGATAGATAGATATGCAAACAGCAGCATGTTGATGATGAAGTGATTATTTAAGTTTCATCTTTTCCCCACTGCTTAATTTGTACCCATAACTATCAGGGTAGGAGCTATCTGGATCTCAGGAGGGATTAAATATGAAAATTTAAACTCAATTCCTGGCCCCTGCATCGAGCCAGGTCTGTAGGAAGAAACGGTTTGCCATCAACTACTTCTGAAACTTGTTTTTGGAATTTTCTATTCTAGTGATGGAATTCTTGGGTGATTCCCCATCCAAGGCAGTTACCTCTTAATTCAACCAAAGCTGATCCTATCTTAACCTCTGAGATCAGATCAGTGCTTCTTTTGGTAAAAACAAGCAAATGAACAAAAAACCTCTCGATGTTATGAAATTAATTTGCTGTCTCAACTGTTACATTGCAAGTTGAATTGTTATAAAAATCAGTGTTATTGGTTTTATTCTTTAAAAAAAACTATGCTAAGTCAGAACCACAATCCCATCATTATTGCACTGAAATTCTTCCCTTGTTCCTAACATCCATTCGTTAGGAACCTAAAAAGGAAGAACAATTTTTATTCTTATGAATATTTGTAAGCTGCTTAAAGTCAAGGATAGGAATGGGTGGTATGTAAAAGTTGAATTAACTATTACAATTAACTATGCTAAAATAGATAAAGGCCAGATTTTATCATTGTGGATTTCAAGTCACAATTAATTTGAAGGTCTTTGTTCAGTTGGACTTTGAATCAAAGCCTTATTGTTATTGGAAGGTAGATTATTTTCTTGTGGCATAATCTGGTACAATATTTAGAGCATTCAAGAGCATGTTGAGCAAAATGAATGCATACAGAGTGTCTACACATAAATGTAAATGTATTCATAATCAAGAGCAGAATATTTTCTATGGCATTTATGAAAGCAAATGTCCTTATATAGGTATTACTATAAAATGATGAGAGTGTTTAAAACAAACAGGGACAATCTCATGTTTATATTCAAGATATTTTCAGTTGTATCATGGAACTTAAACTGTTCTTTAATCAAAAAGCAAAAGGAAATGACTGCACAAAATAATAGCAATGACATTTAAAAGACATTTTTAAGTGTTTGTAGTTTGCAATAAATATTTTTTTCCTTCTAGTTTCATCATTGTAAGTTGCTACAGAGAACCAGGAGAGAGGGAGAGAGCGCGGTGGGGATGAGAATTATCATCTTCCTTGATATAAGGAACAATTATTATCACTTTAATGACTGTATATCTGAGTATGTTCATAAATATCACAAATCTTTCTCTCCCAAATCCTACTGGGGGTTTTCTATCTTGAAACTGAGAACCTACAGTATGATCCTCTAATTGTTGAGCTACAATTCTGATCAACCCTGACCTGGCTGAAGATACACAAAGATTACAGGTGCCCTAACCCTGATCTTCCATCAACCCATTCCTTTCTCCACACCTACATGGCAATTGATCTTAGGAATCTTTTCCTATTCTTTGTACAAGAAAGTGGTAATAGCAGCACCAAATAGGCTGCAGAACCTTGAAAAATAAACTTCCAGAGTTCTTGGACCTAGGAACTTTAGAAAATACTGCATTTCTGAAGAGCTTTGGTCCCTTGGCGCCTTAGTAAGAGTAAACTGGAAATTGATTCTGAATGATGAAATAGAAGGCAAGATCATTTCTGAAGACAAGAAAGTAGAACAGCTGAAAAAATGGCTTTTTTGTTTAGGAAATTTGCAAATTGCAATTTGTCTGTAAGAGTTGCAGTAATGTATGAACAACTGTGAAAGAGCTAAACTTTTAGGGTAAGAGCTCTATGATATTTGCGTATAAAAAAGACTGGTGACGTCTCAAACATTTCTTTTTTAACATATAATATAATCCCCTAAAATATCCCACATGGGGGATACAGTGGCTCAGTGACTAAGACACTGAGCTTGTCGATCAGAAAGGTCAGCAGTTTGGTGGTTCGAATCCCTAGTGCTGTGTAATGGAGTGAGCTCCCGTTACTTGTCCCAGCTTCTGCCAACCAAGCAGTTCAAAAGCATGTAAAATACAAGTAGAATAATAGGGACCACCTTTAGTGAGAAGATAACAGCGTTCCATGAACCTTCGGTGGTTAGTCATGCTGGCCAAACAACAACAGAGATGTCTTTGGACAGCGCTGGCTCTTCGGCTTGGAAATGGAGATGAGCATTGTACTCTAGAGCCAGGAAGAACTAGCACATATGTGTGATGGGAACCTTTACCTTTACTTAATTTCCTAAATGAGTTCAAAACATTTTAAATTATTGTTATTGGGGGGGAAAAGCACCAGAATGGGATAATAGATAAAAGATATTGGACAAGAAAAGGGGGGAGCCAGATTTTAGCCAATCACAAAATATTTTGAGCAATTTTGGGCCAGTCATTCTCTCTCAGTCCAACTATTTCACAGTGTTGCTGCTTTGAAATCAGAGATGTAAATGTATATCATCTTGAGGTCTTGAATGAAAAACAGGATACAAATCTACATTTTGTTTACTAATAACCAGTCTGGAATACCCAATTGACTAAAGAAGTAAAATGGGGCCAATTTTTTTTAGATCTGCTTGTTCACACTATGATTCTTATGCAGTGCATTGCCAAATCTTTTCTGTCTCTGTGATCAAATTTGTTTTGGGTCATAGAAGACTTGATTTTCCCCACACCTATTTTGAAACAAACATTCAATTTATTCTTTTCCTTTAATGTGCTCTATGAAAACTTAGCCAGTTTGACTTCCATCAAAACAGATAAAATAAAATATAGATAACACATACGGAAGCTATCATTTGCTCAGCTGTCACATTTATTACTTTCCCCAACTTACTGCTAACTTGATGAAGTATTCAGTACCAGGAGAAAGGTCTTGTATAGTATAGTTCTGAAAAAGATTTGTAGAGTTATAAATTGCATCCCAAACTATAGAGTTTTTCTCTTTCTTGGCAATGTACAGAATATAGCTGTATACTGTTCCATTTACTTCCTTGGGAATATCCCACCTGAAAAAAACAACAACTTATAATTATACACCAATTAAAGAGAGCAGTGGGGAAATATATAATGTTTGCTTAGAGAGTGAAAGCTAATGTAGACATCAAGCAATTTAAGGCAAGTACTGAAGAACAAATAAAGCAACATAGAAAACTTTCAAATATCAAATTTGTAACAGGGGCCCAAATTATTTTGATATTGTGTTTAGAGTGAAAATTATACTTTGATCATATCACAAAGACTTCTTCCTGTATTATTATTTGCACTGAGATTGTGGCAATATGTAGGTTATACTGATTACATAAAGACTAATGGAAAGTAACTTAGCAAATGGTAATTGTTAGGTAAGCTCCCCATTGGGAGAGTGAGTGCGTTCAGAGAAGCGTTGTGAGAGTTGTGTTGGAGAACACACAAACCAGCATACAGAGACAATGCAGTTTAAATAGGCTTTTACTTTCATGGAAATAGAGGAATCAGAGCCCATCAAACAGTCCAAGTCATACACGGATAAGACAGACAGTCATCAATGTCTTTCAGTTAAGGGATAATCCAAATAACATAGTCCGGTATCATATAAACAGTTCAGTACTCAAACTTTGCTAGCAGTTGCAAAACTTACAANCACAACATGAATAAATGTGATGATACCTCCTGCCTACCAGACATCTGGAAACCAGCCCTAGTCAACAAACGAACCCCACCCACCACCCAGATCATTACAACACAAAAGAACAACGACCAGCACCTTACTCACACAGGATGATACAAAAGCCAACCAATCTACAAACATCAATTCCATGTACCAATCAGGATGCAACTACACAACCAATCAACCCACTTACAGCAACAAAGCCAGCACTCCACACAACCCCACCAAGATTTATAGAAAGACGACAGCTCTAACCATGCCTTACTCGCACAAGGACGAAGCTAAAAACACCAGCCTGAAGATGGCGAGTGGGACCTCGCCGAAATGTTGCCAAAACAATCTCAATCTTACATGGGAAAAGACCTGAATACAACAAGACCATAGGTAAGCAGTATGCTCCCTCCCATATTTGGGCATACCAGGAGTTGTGACACAATACATTATACACACACACACACACACACACACGCACACACACGCACACGTACGTACGTACATACGTACATACACATATACTTCTTCTAAGATGTTCAAATGATCATTTTATAGTGTGTATTTTCTTAGCAAGACTTCTGAGATTCTTCTGCATTCAAGGAAAAAAATTAAATATGGCTTAGAAGAAGTTTATATAAATTCTAGTACTATTATATAGTCTAGACTCAGCTGGCTGTCTCTGACAATTTAACTGACAAGACCAGATTCACATTGATACGATAAGAAAAGTAAAGGCAGTATGGAAATTGTGTGTGTGTGTGTGTGTGTGTGTGTGTGTGTGTGTGAATATGTATATATAGTCAAAACTTCACAATTCCTTGCCTGTTATTTACCTTCTTACAAGCACTTTAAAATGTACAGATACGAAACCAATAGCTGGATGTATTTAGAAATCAAAATTAAGAAGATGCCATAAAGAAAATGGCATCTTTTAACATGCTTAAAAGAGATTTCAGAAAGTACCCTTCAGTTCAATTGTTCCATAAAGCATTAAATAAGAGAATGCAATACATTAGAACCATCAAAAGGGAGCACTTTTGAGCCACTGAAACAGCAAAACAGGATTGAAAACTTCGATCTCCGAGCTGTAGACAATGATACCATCACCGTATTTTATGTGCTAAAATGATCATTAAAAATTAAGCACCACATAGAAGCTGCCATTTAGAATATTAATTTACCTTTACTAATCATCTTTTTAACTTGAGGCTAAAACAGTTCACTCACCATTCATGTACTCTGGCTTAGTCCATGAAATGTTAAAAGAGTCAGAGGAAAAAGACTGGACTTTAGGAGCTGGAACCCCTTCTGGGCCAGTTTTCATTGTTTTTACTGAAATAGTTTCACTGATTGTGCATCCACCTGTAGTGCAGGCCTTTGGAAAAAGAAAGAGAGACCAATTCTAAAACCTGACATGAAATATATCCCCGGTGTATACTATTCAGGAAAAGAAATGTAAAGAAATCTAGTCATTTTTTAAAGGTTGTTTTTTTATCTTTCATTAATTTTTATAAATAACTCAAGATGATGAATATACCTAATACTGCTTCCTCCTCCTATTTTCTACACAACAACCACCTTGTGAGGTAGGTTCGGCTGAGAGAGAGTGACTGGGTTACCCAGCTGGCTTTTATGCCTGAGGCAGGACTAGAACTCACAGTCTCCTGGTTTCTGTCTTAAGAGTGGTCTTCATATGTTTAGTTCTCAAAGTAGCATGATTTATTTCTTTATGCAGTCCTGTGTTTGTTTATGAGGAATTACAATCATTTCAAGAGTCTTTCCCAAGATCAGGGCCCTCCAGAAAAGACGGTTGTTATGAAGAGGTCCCTGCTGCTAACATTGGTCTCAACCTCCATCCAGGAATCAGAACAGAAAAGAAAAGGGCATTGGCATGAAAAAGTGTCCTGTAGGACAGTATCAAATATGAATCCTACTATTCCCCACCATCCAGATAGAGCTGAACAAGCTTCTTGGATGAGAAGCGAAATAAGAAAAAGAAAAAATAAGGAAGTCCAGCTGCCTCCTGAAAAGCACCTTTGGGGCAACCATGACCTGGATGACTGAGAATCTCCATAGACTTCTGTAGAACAGGATCCGTTTCTTAGATGCAAACAGTCAGAACTGAAATATCTAGTAACTATCCACACCAGTGGTAGTCAACCTAGTGGGCGTTCCAGCTTTCATGGTGGGCGGTAGGGGTTTGCTGGAACTCTGCTTTATAAATTTTATAAATAAAGTTACTTCCCTACTTTATAAATCACCATTACTGTGGAACCGGTGGGCGGTTAGAAAATTTTACTACTAACAGAGATACAAACATGGGCGGTAGGTATAAAAAGGTTTACTACCCCTGGTCTACACGTCTTTCCTTATTTAACAATTTCTAACACTTTTGTGTTTCACATTACACTGGAGGTACTAAAATTTGTTTATGGAATAGGTAGAGATGTAAACATTTCTAGGTGTCTTTCCCCCCACTCCTCCATGGGGGTGGGAGATTGTTTTATTGGGTTTCTTTAGAGTAGGCGAAACAGAAAGATACTGAAACTTAAGTTTCTTGACTCAGCTCACTAGGTGGCAGCACCTAGCCAATCTCGACAGATCTTCAAAAAACACAAGCAGGGTCAGGATCTTTTCATCACTTGAACGGAAGACAACTGGGAAATCCCAAGTCTCTAAACTAGACTAGGCGGTTCAAAAAGAACCCCATCTCTGAAGGAGGAAATGACAAACCACTTCCAGACTGGTGTCAAGTCTCCCTATATGAAAATGTCCATGTAACCTCCAGGAATCAAGGCTAACTTTACCTTTCAAAGTCTTTTCCTTCCACATCTTTTAATTCTTAGTATAACATTTGCTGTATTTTATATTTGGCATAATTATAACATTTCAGCTGTTTAACTGCATTCATTTTATTAAAATACTGTAAGACCAAGGTCTTCAAATTGGCAGCTTTAAGACTTGTGGACTTCAACTCCCAGAATTCTCCAGCCAGCAACTGTTTGGTATTGGAGAGGAAACTATGGCATCTACAACTGAAGTTGTCTAAAAGCAAAAATCTATGTTTTCTTCAGATTGTGGGATATGGGATTGGATCTTATGGATCCTTTTTGCTGAAAGACCAGCTCTATCATCTCCTCTTCTTTGAACATTTTGCCTCACAATTTAAATTGTGAAGAATATATGTAGCTCAGACTTCAATTGTTGGATTCCTGGTATTCTCTCAGCTGACACTGTCACACAACCTGATTATGAAACATCTGCAAGGAGAAAAGCGAGCTCGGGGAGCACCAAGAACCCAATAACTTTGAAGTATGTAGAAGTAGAATAACAGAGTTGGAAGGGATCTTGGAGGTCTTCTAGTCCAACCCCCTGCTTAGGCAGGAAACTCTGTACCATTTCGGAAGTATGTTGTCTTAATTTGATTCTCCCTTACCCAGCATCCACTAATTTTCCTTTCCTTGTTGGAATTGTGTCTTTCAAACTGTAGGCTGAAGAACAAAGACAATCATTATTGTTATTCCCCTTCTGGAACCTTTACAGTTGAAGAGTGGAGAAAAATTATTTAAATAAATGTACCTGCCTATTCTGCAAGGCCCACTCCTAAATAAATAGATTCAGGATTGCTACCTTGGTACATTGCTATTATTTTATATTTCTTTTTAGGTAGATTTAGGTAACTGGTGTCTCTCTGTGTGTATGGCTTCCTTCCATTTTAACATGCAAGGTAACACCCCCCCCCCTCCATCTGCCTTTGCCAACGTATCTTGGAAGAATCAAGTGGGGAACAATGCAAGTCTTAGCAGCTCTTCAGCATATACAAACAAGATTTCGGCAAGCCTTACCTCACATAGTGAAAAGTTGAATTTGGTATGTTGGCAGTTATACTCAATCTGCTGACAGAAAAAAAAAACACCCTCCAAACTTTGGTCTTTGCCATTAAATATGAACAGTTTATAAATCTAATCTTGATTGCAGGAAAAATGATTTCAGCAACAGAGTAGTAAATGTGTGCACACCCTACCGGATTCTTTTGTTAGTTCCTCCAACCCCCATACCTTTTACCTTAAGCTGTATACCGGGCCTTTACGCCTTTCTTAAGAGGTCCCTAAGGGGCGTGCATAAGCGCACCAGCGTGCCTACCATTCCTATCCTACTGTCCCATTTATATGTACTCTTTCTATGTGTTTATGGCTATGTTTTGCTTATTTATATCCATTTATTTGTGCCATTTTTCATGTGTTTTCATACTTGTTTCCTTGCACTTGTTGACAAATAGAAATAAATAAATAAATAAAATAAATAAATGGCAGTACACTTAACATTCATCTTTTTGCATAAAAGAAATCCTGCCCTCCAAAGCATCTAAGATGAAAGAACTGCCAGTGAAAAGTGCATGTAATACAATTGTTTGAAAACTTTAAAGTTGTTGGGGGGGAACTTCATGTGAAAGAAGTATAGTAAACTGATTTGCATTTTACTAGGTTCTTGACCATTTTAACAATTATATACTGTACATTTAGGTAATGATAAATACAAAATTTCTGTATCTGAGAACAGGACGAGAGAATTTCCTTCAGATTTTTTTGTCATATAAATGCATGTTTGTTCAAAACTTTGCCCAACTAATCTCAGCAGTAAACAGTCTTTTTCACTGATTCTCACATTCTTAGTCACACTCTCAGAGATTAGTAGATAAAAGGATCTAAGAGTCTCTTGCATCTTACATTGCTTTTTAGGGGAATATGCTTATATGCAGACTTAAGTGCTAAGGAATGGGGAGAGGATGTCTTCACCTAAGAAATCAATATAGGAAGACAACAGACAGCTACTGAACCCTTCAACTGTTAAACCTTCAATCCTTGTGGGCCAAGACTGGAATTCCACTATGAAGGACAAGTAGAGGACGAGGCGGTGTGCAAGGCCTCCCTTGCTCAAAGAAGCGAGAAGGCTTTTGAGAAAAATCTGGGGAACAAAGGTGTAGGAAAAGATGAAATGCATTGCTAAAGCATGGGATTGAAAGCCAGATTGTAGTATAATGCTTACATTACAATGCTGCATATATAATAAATTATAACTATTAAAATTCCCTAAACAAAGATGTGAGAGAAGACTTAAGGAACTTGGTGCTCCAGCAACTGTAGCAAGCAACATTTATACCAAAAAGATGACACACATACACTCATGCCACACTCAGAGACAGATACTAGTAATCTGTGGTTTGAAAAGCCGTGATGGCGAGTGGTTAGAATACAACGTTGCAGGTTAATTCTGGTGACTGCCAGGGGTTCAATCCACACTGGCTCAGGTTGAGTCAGCCTTCCAAGGTTGGTAAAATGAGGGCCCAGATTGTTGAGGGCAATATGTTGACTCTGTAAACAGCTTAGAGAAGGCTGGAAAGCACTGTGAAGCGGCATATAAATCTAAGTGTTGCTATAATATAATTGCTATTATCACAAGTAAGTATATATATACTTACCACCCCTGGTATGCCCAAATATGGGAGGAAGTATGTGTGTTTGTGTGTGTATGTATGTATGTACGTATATATATATATANACAACCCTGATCTAAAGAAATGGAGGTTTTCCCTTCACTTGATATGTTCAAGCAAAAGTTGGATGGTCAATAGTCAAGTCATATTTTAGATTTCTGCACAGAGCAAAGAAAGGAATGACTTGAAGACCTAAATTGTCCCTGTCACCTCTATCATTCCATGACTAAGTAAGTGCCTATTCCTCCTCCTAAGTCAAAGTTAAACATGTCTCTATTAAGTGTGTGTGTGAGAGAGAGACAGACACAGACACAGAAACACACACACACACACAAACACAGAGAGAGGGAGAGGGAGAGGGAGAGTGTTAGAGCCAAACTCTACATGGCATAGTACAGGAGGGACAGAAATAGTAGCTTTGTTTTAATGTGTATGTCTTTCCTCAATACTACATGTCAGAATTTTGGAAAGCAGGTCCCATAATCCCAGAACACTAGAAACTATCAATAGTCACTCACAGAAAGAAAGTCACTTTGCAAATCTTCAAAGACATTCTCATTCCAATGATTGTTCTTTGTGATCCAAATTTTGGCACCGAAAATAGGCTGCCAGGTAATGTTAACTGCAAATGTACTAGAAAACCTAAATTAAGAGTAAATGACAGATGAAAGGATAGTGAAGCTGTAGTTCAATTTTTCATGCTTTCCCAGTGTAGAATTAAGTAACAGACAACCATGTTTCACAATTCCATTCTCAAGAATGCTTGAGGAAGTGCTCTTTTTACATAATTTTTAATGTCTCAAAGAATTAATATATTTTGCCTATTGCTTTATACAATATCTTGTCTCTTGCATAATTCAGATTCAAGTTATATATTCATCAGCTGAAAAACGAAAACTTTTAATAAATAATTGGTTCTGGGTAAAAGCAAACAGAGATAGAGAAGCTCTTTTTATTCCATTTACCTAATAACTTTGATTTTTAAAGCAGCCCCATGCTGAATATACAAAATAAATATCTCCTCTACCACTTCTTTCTTAAGGGGGAAAACATTTTTAACAAAGAGGAAGGAGACACAAGGAGGACATGGGTGAAGCAGAGATGCAATCTTTGAAAGTTGGATGGTATACAATTATTATTGTTATTATATGCACAACAATGTTAAATTACAGCTTCTGGTTTAGCTGCTGTTGGCCTTCATGTAAATTGAGTTCTTCCTAAGAAGCTAGGCTGTATCGGTTTAGTACACAGTATCTGTGGGAGTGGTGGGTTCCTACAGATTCAACCATGGTCCTGAACTGGTTCGCTGTTTTTTGCACTGTGTTAGTGCAGTGCACACATGAGCGAACTGGTAGTACTGCCCACTGGGACCCACCCTTGATCTGTGGATACAAGCAGTGTGGCCTTTTGTAATTGACAGATGGACAATTTGTCAACACAGAGATTTTCTCCAAGATTTTTAGGTATAACATACAGTGGGCCGATAACTAGAGACCACCATGGCTAATTTATTCCATAATCTTTCAACGTTTATTTTCAGATTTTGATACTTTGTGATCTTTTCCAGTTCGTTGTCTTCTGTTCTATTGTTCTTTGGTATTGCCACTTCAATTATCCACACTTTCTTCTTTCAACCACAGTCAAGTCTGGTGTGTTGTGAGCCACAATTTTATCAATTTGTATTAGCAAATCCCAAAACATTTAACCTGATCATTTTCAACTACTTTAGAGTTAAAGTAGGAATCAGGAAATCCCACATTTTAACCCGATCATTTTCAACTACCTCAACTCTATTTTCCCACCATATTTTCTTTACTTCCACATGATAATTTTTACAGTTATTCCAGGTGACTGTGTTATGTTATGGTTGATAATAGTTTGCATGATCTTCTTACACAAGCTGATAATATGATTTATTGTTTCTTCTGCTTCTTTGCACAGTCTGCATTTTTTTGGTCACGCCTTGAGTTTCTTTTTTTAAATGTTCCAGTTGTAAGCCATTGCCACGTTTTACCTTTACCTACTTCCCCCTTGTAGAAATTGTCCATGCAATGCTTTTCCCTGCCAGCATTCTGTTCTTGTTTTTATTACATTATTTCAATATTCATGTTTTTTTTCATTCAGTACATTCAGTAACTTCCAATTTTTAACTTGCATCAATGATTGTTCTTCTCTGTTTTCTACACAATCAGCCAATGCATGTTTTTCTTCTTTGACAGTTTGATTTGAAACAAACCTCTATCTCTATTTCTGTAGGACAGGTATAATCTATCAGTATCACTACAGAGATTCAATGCATAATAAATACTCATCACTTTTCTTATTTTTTGGTCCAAACTGTTCAGTACAGGTTGCACCCAGTTAATAATTCCTATCACAGACATGGCCCAAGTATTGATGGTGTTGATGATGTGTCCATTATTGACTTTTATCTTTAGAAGTTTCTTCATTCTTTAAATGTATTCTTTAGTAATCACCTTTTTAACTTATCCATACTTGACATTATCCAGTGTAATGACATTATCCAGTGTAATGTAGAACTTGATGGTTTGGCCATTTGGCATTTCAATTCCATTACTATTTGTGATTTAACCTTGAATTGTTCAGAGAACAGCCTCTATTTATTTGATGTAGAACAGAAAATGAGGGAGAGCTAGTTTGGTGTAGTAGTTAAGGCACCAGGTTATAAACCAGATGTTCTAGTCCTGCCTAAGATATTAAGCAAACTGGATGACTTTGAGCCAGTCACTCTCTGTCATCCCTAGGAAGAAGAGAAAAACTTCTGGGGGAAAAACTTGCCAAGAAAACCAGAGCAATTTATCCAGGAAGTCCTAGAAGTAAATACTGAATTGAAGGCAGATAAACACACACAGACACAGAGACACAGACACACACACAGAGAGAGAAAGAATTAATGAAGCTTTGCTACTAAAAGAAGAAATGTATGCAAAAAAGTAAGACTTCAAGCTAGATATTTCCTAGAGTTAGTAAGGTTAGTTCAAACTGAACTTGAATTAAACCTCACCTTATTTAAAACAGTGATAGAGAGTATTTTTACTGTATGACTTGAATTCTGCATGCATTGAGGATTGCTTCCATCCCCACTGGCCTGGATCAAATGAAAGTAGTAGAAAATAGTACACTTACTATAAGAACTCTTCCATAGCAGGAGACAAAAAAATAAAATAAAAATCTAAGCCTCCCATTTACCATGTGTGAAAGAGCAAGGTGATCAAGACCAAGCTATGCAGTCTCTGTGTATGTGGGAGCTAGGTTGCATCTTTAATTTGTACTTCAATCAGCAACAAACCTCACTAACTTGAACTTTATCCTTTACTGCTTCCATTTTGTTACATTCCTGTCAATACTAGCGCCGTAGATATGGGACTATTTGCATCTTACTTTTGTAGTCATAAGCAATATTTTTTTTCTTTTATTAAATATCATACGGAGAAGATTTAACTTTAAAAAAAACCATGCTGTATTGTACCTATTATTTTAGGACAAATAGTTACTTTCTGTTTACTTTGCTTTGCATCCCTCCTGTGCAGCTTACCCATGAGCCAGGGAGAACAAGTTTAATTTATCATTAGCAGTTTATGTGCCCTTTAATTGGAATCTATGTGCTAGCCCAGGCAAATTGTCTATGTAGCCTCCTCTGAAATATCTGCATACCTTAAATGGCATGATAGCTTGTTGAAAGGAGGCAGACAATTTACATTCTACTGGTGTGTTATAAATAAATTATAAGAACAGATTAGAATTATGCATTTACGCCTACTAGTGAGTGTGAGATGCATAATTCACAAGTGGTGAACCCTTAAGAGACTCCTGAATTCCCCAATCACAAGCATGCTGATGAAGGTATATTTTTCAATTCCCACTGTTCTCTGCTTTTGTTATTTTCATACCTTCCCTGGCTACTAAGTTAGGACCTTCCTGATTATTTATTATCCATTAAAGCTTAGCTGAATAGTGTCTCCTTTTTTAGATCAAAGGTTATTTATTTTTTAAAAAGCTTTAAATATCTCTTTTCAATAGTTATATTCAATAGCCAATATTTCAGTTTTGAAAGCAACAAGTGAGATTGATTTGTTTCCAGGCTTTTTAAAATTAATAATAAGAGCCATGATGGCACAATGGTTAGAATGCAGTACTGCAGGGCTAACTCACTGCTCATTCCAGAAGTTCGATTCTGAGTAGCTCAAGGTTGACTCAGCCTTCCATCTTTCCGTGATTGGTAAAATGTAGACCCAGATTGTTGGGGAAAATATGCTGATGCTGTAAACTACTTAGAGAGGGCTGTAAATCACTGTGAAGCTATATATAAGTCTAAGTGTTATTGCGAATGTATTAAAAATGCATATATGAATGGTGCATATGTGTATGTAAGTTATATTCCATTCTGTATAAATATATTTAGAACAATTCTACTAAAATTAATTAAATTTGCATTCGTTGTAACTAATTTTCATTCTATTGCTTTCATTAGACCTACTTTAAATAAGATTCCTGGGTTTCAACTGCTATTAAAAAGTTGCAAATGTTTTTAATTTCAGATCAGTGAAATGTATTTTTTAGTATCGGTGCTTTTCAGTATTTGCATACATACATTAAAAAGAATCCTATTCACCCCCTGTATGGAGTAGCAATGGCATGTATCATCTTTCTCAATCTCAAGTCCTTGACCAAAGGTTTGAGAATTTGAGAGTTCTGCCAGCTGTTCCTTGCATTGCACTCTTCTGAACAGAAAATTCTGAAGTTGTTTCCGAGATCTGTTGAAGTCACTCTCCCAGCTTAAGAGTCATAACCTCAAGTGTTCCTACCACTATGGACATGCTGCCTTTTATTTATCACATACTTATTAGTTCCTCCTACAGACCCTGATATTGCTTTAGCTTCTCATACTTCTTCTTGCTGATTCTGTTGTTACGTGGCATCTCTGCAACTATCACAATCACTGTCTTCTGGTCCTTGTCTATTACCATGACACCCACTTTAGTGGCCACTATCTGTCTATCTATCTAGAAGTCCTACAGGAACTTATCCCCATTAGTCTCCACAGTCTTCTGTGTTATCTCTCATGTAGCTAGGTCTAACCCATACACTGTGTAGAGGTTATATACAGTGCCAGCTATTTGGTTGTGCCATTCAGTGTATTCTATCCCTTCTATATCTTATACCCTTCCACTATATGTTCAATGAAGAGTCCTGTCTAGTATGGTAGACCTCTGCTTCTTCAGATCTGTTGCTAGATGTCTGTTCTTGAGCTGTTATGATCAGTGCCTCAGTGTTGTCCTTTAGTCCAGCCTTGTCCAGTAACTGGTAAGATTTCTCAATGTCAGCCATCTCGGCTATCTATATATCCCATGCATGGTATTGGCACTTCCTCTGCTTCACCTTCCTCTAATGTGTGTTGTTCCCTCAGACATTTTCTCAGCAGTTCATCTTTAGGTGTCATCTTAATGATATAGTCTTGAATGTACTGGATGTCATTCAGGACAGTGGGCTTGAAACTCACCAGATTCCACCAACTCCTTTTCTAGGTGGTGTATAGTCTCTTGGAGTTGGATGCAGGGTGGGAGCCTCTATGAATTGGGAGGACCATTTAGGTCCTCATATCAACAGCCTTATGTCCTTTTGGTCAGCTCTCTATACCAGCAGAGTATCTGGTGATAGGCATGGCATAAGTGTTGATGGAGTGGATGTTGCCTATTCCATTGATATGGCTCTTCGGGATTTATATTACCCTTTGGTGATACTTGGATGTTATTGTCTTCCATGTGATTATATTTATATTTCTATAGTCCATGACATCCCAGCATCCTCATAGTGAATCTGTGTCAGCTAGATCAACAAGTCCATGTCTCATTCATTCTTATCATACATCTTGGTATTCTCCATGCAGAGGACATGGCTGATGGTAAGTCCACTGTTGAACTTACTGTATATCATATGACCAAGGAGATTCAAGTTTGTACAGGATAGCAACAGGGATAATGCATCACCTTGATATGTGCTAAATTAGATGGCCTCTTCTGCACGCTATTTTGCATTGATTTCCAATGATTTTTTCCACAGTTCCTATTCTTTCCAGAGTTCCTGAGGAAGGTTCTTGATGTCGTCTTGACTTTGTATAATACCGGGTATTCACATATCCATGTGTGTGTTCATTGTTCATAAGCTTTCTTGTAGTCAATTCAGGCTGTATTCATATTGGTCTGTCTAGACTTTGAAATTTGGATGACTCCTCTATCTATGAGTGACTAGTGTTTGGAGCATCTTATTTTTCTAAAGTCTTTTTCAGTTGTGTTCATGTACTGGTCCTGTAGCTTGGTGGCTATAATGCCTGATGCCTTCTACAAAGTATAGTAGATTTTTTTTGTTTATTATGCAAGTTTATAATAAATAAACTGTATAATTCAATCCAGTTATTCAATTGCTTTGACAAAGTTTTCTGACAAATGAGACATTCAATTAGCTGCCTCATTATATCAAAACATGCTCATTCTCAGAATAAGATTAGAATTCAAACCAAAATATTAAAATATTAGTTGTGGACTGAAATCATGTCCCCCATCCATTTTAGCAAGAAAGTTACATTAAAAGCTAGATGAATCTGCATTATATTTAATATCTTACTGAAAGCATTTTACTCTGGAAGAGGTTCAAGAATGAGCTCAGTTGCATGAGGTTATAGCTATAACTGAGTTGAGTTATGTGCCAAACCATCCAGGTGAGTTTCACTTTTGCTGACTGAAATCCAGCCTGGGTTGTGACAGGAAAGGAAGAAGAGTTTTAATCAACAAGATGGCTTGGGAATCTTTTTGTTTTGACAGCCATGCTAGAATTGTAATTATTAATGTGAATTCTACAGAATATTCCCCAGGGCAGCCACCTTAAAGACATCAATTTCTTATAGATTTTCTCTATATTTTACAGCTTGTTTCCAACAATGAATTGGTACCCATATTGGTAGACTGCCACATTGTAAACTTTCTAATAACAGTTTCTTTCCAACTTTACAGCTAACCCAGGTCTCACTGTTTTCTTTCAGAAAGATTGATTGTTCATTTTTTCTCAATAGATGTCATATTTTATTGAACACTGTTCAGCTCCAACTTCCTATTTGTAAGAGTTACACATAAGGGGTCTAGGGTGCTTTCTGAGCTTGCTTGTTTTCTTGCAGATCTTTCATTACACAAACAAGGCAACATCAGCAGTGCTAGTGATGTCACCTAATTTGGATAATGAAATGTCTGCAAGAAAACAAGCACGCTCAGAAAGCACGAAAGACCCCTCATGTCAACCCTGAGCTACAAATATTCTCCTTTATTAGTTATACATAAAACCAAAAATAGTTCCGTTCTGCATAGATTGAGGCTCTTTATGTCAATTAATAATGTAAGGAAAAATTACTGTCTGATTTTGAATTAGCAGTATTGATTCTGGCCAACAAAACAGGAAGTGTTGAAAACAATTTCATCCCTGAAAAAGAAAATATAACTTAATGCTTAATAGAATGAAAGAAAATTGTTTGAATAAACTAAAATCTGATGGTATGCTTTATTCTATCCATTTAGTTAAATTATTTTTTTGGTAAAAAGAAACTGAATACTATGATATATTCTGGTAAACAGAAGTTTGATGGATTTTTAGAATTATCTTTAATCAAAAACGTTTACATAACAGTATTTCTATTGTAAAATAAAATTACTGCCATTTAGAAGTTACTGGCAATCTTGATTTATTAAAAATGACAACTTTCAATTGCAAATGAACTAGGAAAATCAAGATTTATCAGGTATCATTAAGCCCTTATATAATGCTGCATATTTTTATAACAACCTATTCAGAATGTCAATAGTATATCGCAGATGAGGAAACCAGAAGTTGAAATTTGTAAAAACATCATTATCAAATAATAATGTACTTAATGAATGTCATTCTCTGCTTATCTAAATATATATTAAGATGGAGGATGAAAAGGGTTTGGGAAGAGTTTCAGAATTTAATCTCTCATCCTCATTCTTACCCCACTCTTAAGGGCTCTCTATAGTTGAAGTCTCCTGACGTCAAAGTGCCAGTTCTGAAAATCAATGGAGAAGTGGGAGCCAGGGGAGACATGGTCACAAGGTCCTACTTTGGTGCTTAGGACTGTACAAAAAAGAAAATCCCACCTATTTTTAACCAGATATGTATAGCATTGTGCTAAAAAACCTGAAACGTCTACATTGCTAGTTTGGTTATATTACAACCGCATTCTTTCACAGGAGGGAAATTTGAAAGCATTATGGTTTTCTTAAAGTGTAAGCATTATATTCTAAATTTATCTGCTGCCCATCTTGTCATAGGCAAATCTGCATAGAGAAGAAGCAAGACTCTAACTTGTGAGAAGACCGAAGTGGCAGTGGGAACTGGAGGGAGCAACAAGCAGAGCATAGAATATCTCAGGGGGTGAAAGGAGGCCTTGGGAGGCTGAGGCAGGTGGGCTTGTCCCTGCACTGTGCCCCCCAGGGTCTCCCCCATCCCTTAGGCACTCCATGCTCCACTTAACAGAATAACAGTGTTGGAAGGGACCTTGCAGGTCTTCTATTCCAACCCTCTTCTCAAGCAGGAAACCCTACACTAGTGATGGCGAACCTTTTAGACACCGAGTGCCCAAACCGTTTGTGCACACATGCCCAAAATGAAAGGTGAAATTGCACAGCCGTGTGCATGTGTGGACATGCATGGGCATGCACATGCATGGAAATGCACACATGCACAGCCGAGATCCGAAGACCAGCTAGCTGACTGGCAGGAACAGGATCTCAACACTGGCAGGTGGCAAGAGGTAAGATCTTTTTGTGAGCTTCTGCTTTGTCATTTGCAGGAAACAGAAGCTCACAAAAGAAACACCACGGAGATCTGACCTAGGGCAACAGCGCACATGCCAGCATAGGGGGCTCTGTGTGTCACCTCTGGCATGCGTGCCATAGGTTCACCATCATGGCCCTATACCATTTCAGACAAATGGTTTTCTAATCTCTTCCTAAAAACCCTCCTTTGTTAACAATCTGTGCGTTCATTGAACAATTGTATTGGGTAGAGCCGGGATGAGGGGGTTGACCAGTGATGTAATTCACTTAATCATTATCCTGACTTTTGACCATAACAGGCAGGCACCATCACAGTTGTAACTCAGTGATTACCTATGTTTGAAATCTTTTATCAGTGTTGAAATATCTTGCTGAAATAATCTGCTAAAATAATAATTTTTCAAGATCGTAGTTAATCTTGTTGCAGATCCTAAAGCCAAAATCATGTAAGCTTTTTAAAGGCTTTAATTATGGCCTGGACTTAATGGGTTCAGGATAATATTTGGATAATCTTTGAAAGATTTTGCCCTTTGTTCAGTTCAGGGTTACATAGCTTTCCTACCTTTATTGCACAGGATAAGAAGACAATTTCAATTAATGATTATATTCATAAAGGGTTTTTTTTAAAAAAAAATCCACCTGTGATTATTATCTTGAATAGGTTGTCTCTATAGGTTTTTGTGAAAATTTATAATTGTGATTTAGAAAAAGGGGCATACAAATAATGATGGAATAGTATATGTATAATTATGTATTATATTAAGAGCAAATCGCCATGCAACTTGTAAAAGATTCCATATTTGGAATCATTAGGAAGAATCTAAAAGCCTTGAAAAACATCTATGGTGAAACCACATTGCTGTGCATTGGTCAACACAACTTAAGAAGGATATTACAACAAAAGATACAAAAATGCTTAGAGGTAAGCAAAGATACTGTAGATAAAATCATGCAGGGTAAACTCCTGTGAAAATTTTGCCAAGAATATTGCAGTAAGTAATAGTTTAGGCCAGTGTTGGCTAAACCTTTTGACCTCGTGTGCCCACACCCATAATGCAATGTGTGCATGACACTCCCCTATGCACCCTGCCCTTCTGTGCATGCACTATGACCCCCTTCTCCCTGTTTTGGGCCTAGCAGCCCCTCCCCTGTGCTTGCACACGTGACTCCTGCAGGCACCCCTCCCCCCAAGCATGCATGGCAGAGACCCAAAAATCAGCTTGCCGGCAGGAGGCACACACGCATGCTCGGTGGAGTTGAGCTGGGATAACACCTCGCATGCCTGCAGAGAGGGCTCCGCGTGCCACCTGTGGCATGTGTGCAATAGGTTCGCAATCACGGGTCTAGGCAATCATCAGGAGTATGACTTGAAGGTGCATACACACGCACATACACAAACACACAACTATAAATATTTTCAAGTTAGAACAAGCTCAAAGGAAGATTAATATTGGCATCTGAGTATGCCTCATGAAGGCAGGCTGAAGGAATTTAATATATTTAGTTTGAAGAATAGATGACTGAAGGCAATTGTAATGTCAATGTCCAGATAAAAGAATAAGAGAGGGCAGGTGGTTAGGGAATATTTTCCACTACCACATAAATAAGGATCAGGAATAATGGTTACACTTTGCAGCCCACCATCCCCAACCCTCACTTCCATTTAAATGTAAGTAAAAACTTCCTATTAGTGAGATGTGATTAACAGTGGAATTGAAGTTGCTAGTTCTTCATTCCTGGGAGGTTTTTAAGGCAGCCATTTCATAAGGATGCGTTCATTATTTTCCCCAACATATTGCAGTCGGTCAGACTAGATAATCCTCCAAGTCCCTTTCCCAGTTCTAGGATTCTTATCTAATCACATCATATCAAGCTTCCTACTAGCTTCTGCTGAGTTTCAGTTAGTGAACCTGACCAATTAAAAAAAAACCTTACATTCAAAATCCCCTGGTTGTCCCTCCCAAAACAGCACCATCATAAACTAAATTTCCACAGTAGGGCAATTCTTAATATTTTATGAAGTAACATTTCCTGTGTTAAATTGATTCACATGATCCTAGAAATACTGTCAGCGGCAAATACATTAATGTAGAACTTTGTATGGACGAATGGCAGTATAAAATTCAGCTAAAAAACTTTATTTGAATGATGCCAGCGGTCTAAAGGAGCACATTATGGATATTACAAAAACGGTGACCTATATAGCACGATAATTATTGTTGCTTCGCTGTTAACCCCTGGGCTGTAACTGAGCATTACAGGTGTATCACATCAAATGCACCAGCTGCACTAGGGATTCTACCTGGTCCAGGATGGTAATGAATTATGGCAACATAACCAGCAGATGTAGGAGACCCCCAAAAGCAATGCAGTTTATTACTGGCCTCAGATTTAACATTTAACAGTATTCTCCTGCGAGGCATAGGAGGAATAATATTACACATTATGTGGAAGTTTCCACTTACTGCTGAAGGACACAAATCACCCTTGAAGCCATTGGAAAAGCTAGCCGTTTGTGTTGAGAAACTGGCTCATTTTCTGCTTCTGTTTAAGTCACTAGATCTAGGAGGCAGAAACGACAGCAACAGCCTCTTACATCAACGTCTAATTTACTTTGCTTCCCTTTATATTCTTTCTCATTTTAAAACTGAACATGTCTATATTTAAGATAAAGACATATTCAAATGTTTTAAGAAAAAAATGTGTCTTCATTTCTTCTTTGTCCCAGTGAAATTCTCTTCAGTATTAGTAATTTGTCATTGAAACTTCATTTTATGTGCAATCTTATGATTCACACAACTTTTAATTTTTTTTATTTTACCAAACTGCGGCTTGTTTTAATGGAAGGGTCTCAAAGTCAACCAATTATTTAAGAAAAAAATGTGGATTAAGTACATGCTTGCTATTGCTTTATTTTATTTTTTTGGCTTTAGGAACAAGGGGATGCATTTTAGACCAAATTTAACTAAATCATACTTCCCAAAACAACCCAAACTAAAATTTACTTATTCTCTAATATTAGTTCCTTCCATTCCTTAGTAATTGCAGAGCATTGCTTAACTGCTATCTTTCCTAAAGCTATTGTTTGCCACATGTGTGCTGATATTGTAGTTTGGTAGGATGGGGTGGCTGTTAAACTTAGAGGTTTAAATCTGAACCCATACTGCATTCTAATTTTGTTTTAATCATATTTCATCACTGACATACTGGCTGAACACTAGCCTAAAATGTGGTTCAAAATTTGTCATGTTATGTGAATGAACCATCTGGTTAATTTATTAAACTATAGTTCAATAAACCAAGTTAGCATGCTGTGCAGAAACAGCTAGTTTGTGCAAAGAGTTCTTTAACTGAAGGAAATTTCTTAAACTGTCAAAAGCATTTCTTTGAAAATAGTAGTCTGTCCTAAATCTGACTCAAAAATGTTTTGCATGGAATGATGATGCTTCAAAGATATAATATAGCTCAACTGAGAAGAGAATGATGATGTAGAAACATGCTCTCATTGCAAATGTTCTCTTATCTTCTAAATTATTCTAAATTTTTGAAATCTAAATTATCAAAAAATTATGAAGTGAACTTCTGGTTTAATTTTCTTTCTTATGCATTGCTGCCTGTTTACAGAAA